CCTGTGGGTCCAGAGAAGGAGTGAGACACCTTTTCATTTCCACCCAGTAAATCTATACAAAATATTTAAATACGGTAAATCAACTAATCAGCCCCCCACTCACTCACTGACCCAAACCTTTGCCAAGGACTGGTCTTTCAGAGATAAGGAAAGCAGAAAGAATAGATTTAATGGGCTATTATTGAGTGCACAATGAGGCTTGCCAGCAACAGTGACAGGTCCTCAACATTTTGAATGAGCCTGTGTGATATCAATACCCACAGTGGATTTGCCTAAAAAACTATTACACAAAAAATGTGTAATCCTGCACAAACCCAATAGCGCAGATTGGCAGGAAGCAGAGTGAGAGTGGTTTTTGTGATGGGAGCCCTCCAGGCCTGTTTAGACAGATGATGGAAGGGTGCTCCCAGCGGTCCACTCCCAGGCCTACTTCTCATTCTCCACATGTGCTTCATCCACCCAGGACAGCATGCATGAACATGACATTTTGGTCGAGGCATTTAAAGTGAGAAATCTAACCCCTGCTCCCCAAATCTGCCATCATCGAGGATGATTAAAGATAACACTGAGACATCCGTGGATTGGTTAGGCTGGGAAACATTATTACTCATCATGTCCTTTTCGAAAAGGACAAAGCAGCAATTGTCACAGTATATATAATGAATATAATACATATGCAGCGCAGTAAAATAATTACTATTTCAAGAGAAGAGACATTAAAATAACTAGCATATCCATTAAAACCTTTAAATCAGATCTTCAAATGAAAAAGTGAAATGTACATTTAAAAGCAACACACTAAGCTCTACTGTTCGTCACTGCTGAATCTTTAAATATCAGAAATCACTCAAATTGCATAATTTATCAGCACATTAAACGCATAAATAATAATATAATTATAAAACCATTACAAATTAATTAATTGGAGAGCTTTCTTGTTTATTAGATTAGGTTCAATCGTCATAGGAGTATAGGAACCGAGACAGTGAAATGCTTTTTAGTTATGCACAGAGTGTGTATACATAATAACTTAAAAAACTGATAAAATACATTTTCACTGTGTTGTTAAGTATTACATAATTGCTGTAGAAATGTAGCTCTTACAATATGTTTAAATAAGTTATGCAAAGCCAAGTGAAACTACTTTAATAATGGTATGGGGGTTAGGTGGAGAGTTGAGTTACAGGACATTCGGTCAGCATAATGGCATCAGAAAAACAATGTGAATTTAGCTTTCTGTTATGTGTCGGGAAGCCATCACGCCCAAACATTCATCATCATTAGCAGCGTGAGCAGCAAACACCAGATGCCCGGGTATAGTGCTACATCAAATGTGTCTGGGCAGCTACCATCAGCACCGTGGGACATATGCATCTATTCTCTCACCTGATCACGCTCTTTTCTCCATCTGTCGGAGATGGATCGGCAGCTGCCTTCGCTCTCTGTGCCTGTGTGGGCTCTCACAAGGATAACGATTAGTTTCTGACTTCAGCACGTAACTCTGTTATTTACCTCTTTCCTGTTTTCTGGTCTTTAGTTGAAACTGTGTGAATATCTTTGATTTATCTTCCCTTTTAGTGGTAGTAGAATCAATTTTCTGCGTAACGTGCTTTAGTTGCTTGTATATGTAGATCTGTGTACATTAGGACACATGTGTTTTCAGTATTAGTAGAGTAGTTTGACCCAGTATAATGTACCCATCTCCCAAAATGTTTTTTGTAAACACCAAAATTGACATATCTAAGTGTCCGTTATGCTTATTCAAATATTTGTATATCAGTGTTTATGACCACAAGATAAATAAATTGTAAAAAAATTGTTCACAACATAGTTTTTTCATTTGAACAGATACATTTTTAGATAATGACTTGTCTTTTACACCTCTAGTAGACAGCAATGGTACACAGCAGGGTTTAAAATTGTAGTTATTGCAGTAGTCATATATAGTGCTAACATTATCACCATGTTTCATTTCCATTTCACATGTTTCCTTTGGTTAAATTAGCTTTTCCTACACGATTAATGATCAAAAAACACATCCTCCATCTCAAAGTGCTTATTACCATTTAACTGCTATTTCATTAGCTGCGTTTACGAAACATTGCCTTTGACGGCCTATAGGTTACGTGATGTGACCCGTGTTTTTGATTTTTTTTTTAAAGCAAGTGGATTTGAGCATGGCCTCTCATATGTGGAGCCTAATGAGGGTAGTGAGAGTAACAACAAGCTGTTGTGTTGCGTCTCCATGCCCTCATCAATCAAAGCTCTCCTGTTTATGCTCATGCTGATACTGCCAGGCTCACTTTGAGTCCCTATCAATTAAAAGAAAGTGGTCAGCAATCCATCATCCTCCATGTAACACGCCATGTTATGGAATGCAAACAGTGCATGCATTTGTGTGTTGCATTTTCTGCACGTGTGCATTTTTTACAGAACAGTGCATGTTGAATTCGCAGAGCACTTAAGTCCTGATCTATGTAGCTGTTTTTTTAATTCACAAGAGGCGACGGAAACAAAAGGAGAAGGGGAGATATACCGGCACCTAATTTCCCTCCCTCAGAGTAATGATCCTTTGACAACCTTCTAACAGAGCCAATCTCGGGAACAATTTTTCGTAAACTGCAAAGTCTGTTCCTGCTTGACCGGGGTGTATTTGAATTGATTACAGCTGTGGAGAGAGATAGGGGAATCACCTTCCTCTGGTGACAGCGCACTTTGGGTTACAAACTGGAGATTTGCATGGCATTACCCGTGACAGTTCTCATAGGCTTTACCCTCCACACACTGGTGAAGTGCCAGAGGCCTTTCGAGGGCAAATCTACAGACGAAATGTTACTGTTGGACAGTAGGAACCCCCACCAGATATTGTAAGGAATTGAACCTGCTTCAGAAATATCCTGACTCTGTATTGAAGTATTCCGTTTATTGACAGATTCAGGGACACAAAGCAATGGGACAGACCGCACGACACATTAAAAACAGTAGACAGTCATCCCATGCTCCATAAGCAGTGTTGGGAGGGTTATTTTAAACACATTTTGTTACAATTAATTATAATCTGTTAAAAAATGGTATTCAGAAACCTAATCCAAGAATCACAATAATAAAGAAATACAGTAAGTCTCCATTTTGTTCCTGTTACTTTCACATTACCACAATAAAAAGTATACTACATATAATGAGATTAAAATAATATTAAAAAGATTACTTTTTTTAAACCTTTTTATTTCTTTTTTTAAAGCTGCAGTGTCTATCAGTCTTCAAGTTCACGTTCATTCTCAGTCAAAGCAAGCTGGAAATTCAACAGAAATCTAATCCACTAAGACGTGAGAATGTGAGATGTTATATCTCCCCCTTACATCTAAATATCCCCATCTACATAGCACCAATCATAAAGAGATCACATGTGCAAACAGCCTGAGGATAAATGTAAAATGTCTATGCTAATTACGTCAGAATCTCAAATGAGCAATTTAAATAGTCAACAACATATGTGCGCTTTTATGCATACTATCTTTGTCAGTCCTTAATGTCCCAGTAATTGCTCTATTTAAATTCACGTCTGGCTTAAGACGTTTTTAAAGATTTAAAATCAATGTTTTTTATAGCTTCCTTTTCCTGTCTGGAAATACGATTTCACAAATGAAAAATATATCAAGCTCAAAGTAGGAAGTGGAGAGGGGCGCCTCGTGATTTATTCATTCGCCACAGAGTGAATTTAACACTTTAATGTTAAGGAATGCCATTACAGCTCCGGGAGGGAAATTTGACGTTATAACATAACGTATTTACCACAGTTTAAGGAAAATACACAAACACAAACATTAGCTCTGAATTGCTGTGAACAGAAGTGTAGAACATTAAGGGATTTGGTGGGTTGAGAGAGAAAAGGTGCAGCTGAGCGACTGATTCAGCTTAGGTGATGTAAAACGCCTCAGGCTAAACATTTTGAACAAAAGCCCAAAGAAGGAAGGAAAGGGACAATGTGTTGAGTTTCAGTGTGTGTTTGTGAGGACGTTCAAAGAGTGTGCAAGGGGGGGGGGGGGATGTCTCTGTCCACTCCAACAGATCCCGGTTTCCCATCCTTGCACAGACACATGTTCCCGGGCATACCTCTGGCTTCATGCTGGCCTGTTGACGGAGCTAAACTGATGTGATTTGATCATGCAGCCGTACTCGCACTGTCCTGAAAAAACACCATCCTGATCCCTGCCTCCTTCTTGACACGCACAGAGAAAACACACACAGATGCATGCTCACATTTGTATGCTTTCGGATGGAAACCGAACAAAATAAAACCTGCCCAATGCTTTAGGAAGATTTATCTTTGGGTGACAAATATGTAGATGTTTGTGTTCGACATTACATCTCGCCAAACAATAAAGGAAGGTTTGAAATATCGCCTCTCAGTCACAAGCGCTTAAAAGGCGCCGAGTGGATTTTAATAAGGAGCGGTTAGCAGTGCACACCGTGGTCTTCAATGGGATTAAGAGGCTTTGAATGGTTGAGGCCATTAAAAATCTACACAGGCCCACAAGTCCTGGAGCGCCTTATGAGTATATTTATCATTAGGATTAACAAACTCAGCCTGTGAACGCTCTCACCCCAGGAGCACAGCAACCTCTACCCTTGTAGCATTATTGTGTTTGTCTGAGTGGCTGATGATAAGAGCGAGTCAGCAGCAGGGGAGACAAAGCTCTGCTCCCAGCCTGCCGACCATCCCCAGTAGACCGCTCTCAAATGCAACATCTGCATCCACCAGTTCATCTGTGTGCACTGTGAAAAAGCCATGTTTTCTGCATGCTACGTACATTGTTTTTTGATTCCTGAAGCACACACGCTAAGCATGAAGCGATGAAAGACTAAACCCAGAAATCGTGCTTGTGGAGGAGTAAGATCTCCCTTGTGTGTGCTTTGTAATCTAGCGAGATTGAGGGATTTCACTATTGAATCATCCTATCCTAACCCGTTTCCTGGTTCCTTCCTTTCCCACCCCTCAGATCTTCCACATGACCTATGACCTCGCCAGCGCCATGGTGAGGATCGTCAACCTGATCGGCATGATGCTGCTGCTGTGTCACTGGGACGGCTGCCTGCAGTTCCTGGTGCCCATGCTGCAGGACTTCCCCGCCGACTGCTGGGTGTCCAAAAATAAGATGGTGGTAAGTGTCTCTCCTGCACAGAGTCCTCCTGCCTATTGGAATCAGATTAAGTCCTGTTTTATCTCATCTGTCAGCTTCAGTAATTACTGTACTAAAACCCTTTAGCATCCTGGGAAAGATTGCATCGCATATCTGTCATTTTAAGCCCTAAATCAAATATATTTATCTGCTGCGTTTGCCCACATTTATTCAATTTGCGGATTATTTGTATTTATTTGGAGCTCCTGACATCTGTCCATATTGTGAGGGGAGAGACACATAGGCTGTGTGGGGCACATTGATTTTCTGAGGAGGACAAATAGCCTCATTCAATATTGGTAGAATATTGACGGTTTCCAGTAAGCGCTCATGCTGTGCTTTAATTTAGCGTTATTTTTAAAACAGCTGCTGGAGTCTCTTTTAAAGCCTGACTCATAATAGAGTTTTTTTTTATTTGCTTATGGAGGCGCACTGTGTCACACCTGATGTGCGACTCTGAATAACCCGCAGCTGCTGGCTCTCGTGTTAAATAGGCAAGAGTGCAGCACCAAAGGAATCCGAGTTATTGTCAGGTTTTGTGGTTGGGGCCTTATTAGCGATTGATCTGACATCAGTGACTGCTTCTCTCTTCAGTTCAACCAACCAATACATCCACAGATAGTTAACCCTTAAGCAACGCCTCCGAGAAGAGCTGTTCCCTAACTGATAGCTTATCAATATGCGTGTCGATGGAAGTGCCAACAGGGCAGAGTTGGGCTTTAGTGAGGTCGGCAACTCATTTTGGTGAACAATTGAAAGACGTCCACACGGTTGAATTGAAGCTTCCTGGATTGTATAGTTTTATTGGTGACATTTCAAACCAAGGTTTTCCTCAATTAATTGCATTTAGAGGTTCAGTGTCCATATAATGATCAGATCCTCCTCTGTCACAATTCTCTTTGCAGAGAAATAAACAAATGTATTCTACAACTTAATTTAATAGGCTTATGACTTTTTGTTTGTACTAATTTAAATCACACACAAAATACTAAATGTTTATAAAAAAGATGACAGATTAAGTTTAGGCAACAAAACAACAATTCAAGGATTCTGATTCACACGAAGCAGCTTCTCGTCAGCTGTATGTTCAGCTCTCCGTGCCAGAACAGATGTCACATGAGTAGTTACATCGCTCAAGGTATGATGCATTTGGTTCATCATGCCTCGCTGGCTCCCTGACATGCTCACTTGTTATATTTAATCATAGGAAATGACAGACGTTGCAAACCACTGTCCCTTGAGATGTTACACACATTAGCAACTTTTAGCTCATTTTCCATACCTGACTTTGCAGAGACACACACAGTCAGGTGAGGTGGTCCTGCTCAGGGACAGCATCAGGACCGGGGATCAAACCAGCAGCCTATTCTTTCAGTTATCTGGATTAATATGATTAAAGCTAAATGTTTACATTCAGACTTTTTAATGGCATACAATTTCCCCTTCCACTTGTTTTAACTTCACAGACAGATGCATTTTATTATTAGTTCAATATGCATAAAGCCAAGTTGCAATGGGATCATTTTACGTATCATAAGGCTGAGCTGTCAGGCAACATAATGTCAAATGTGACTCATCATGAAGGTATAGTACATTATGCATGGATAAAGATTACATTTTCTATATTTGTCTGCAGCTTTGAAAACAAGGATATGATTGCCATATCTCTCTCTTTTACTTGTGAAGAAAGTACAATGCAGGTCCCGAAAAAAACCGGAATAATACACAAATCCACAACAAAGAAAGGAAACATTTATTTATGTTTTAAACGTTTACATTTTCAGAGAAATGTTGCCTTTACTCTTACTAGGTTTTTTAATAGCAGCCCTACTTTAACCTCTACTTACTGCTATTAAAAATTTAAAATCGAGTCTTCCATTACTTAAATGTTTTAATACGTACATCCACTCAGCAACTCTGGAATATGGGATCACATGTTAATTGTCACAAGAGGATTTCATGCAGTTCTGGCGAAATTATATGGAGATTATATTAAAGGTCCCATGTCATGGCCATTTCTACTGATCATAATTCCATTGTTGAGGTATACTAAAATAAATGTATATTGTGCAATTTTCCAAACTCACATTGGTTTCTCATACAGCATCTCTGTAAAGTATGTGTATTCACTCTCTGTCCTAAACGGCTTGTTGGAGCTCCCCCCCCCCCCTGTGAGCCCAGTGGCCGTCTGCGAGACAGCGAGACAGCGAGACACAGCGAAACCCAGCCCCAAACACACACACACCCGCAGCCTGGCTGGGAGTGTGCCCAGGCTGAGTTCCGCGGTGTCTCGCTTTCTCGCCGACCCCACACCAGTGAGCCAGCTCACACTGTCCGCTCCTCACCGCAGCGAGCCTCGCAACGTCCCGCTGACTGTGTGTGTGTGAGGAAGTCCGCAGATTGGTCCAAACGTAACGGCTCCGCGGATGTAACGTTACGTCACTATACCCAAATACGTCACTATACCCAAGAAGAAAACAATGGAAAAAAAGAAATCTCCAACGAGGCATTCTGGGGCAGCATAGACAGGTCTCTCTCTTCTGTGCTAGAGTTTTACTCGCTACAGGGTGTACTTTGAGGGTTTGTGACTCTGCAGACCGTTTACATGCAGAACAAGCTACATAACACACAAGGGGACGGGTAATAACCAGAAAAGCATGACATGGGACCTTTAAGGTATTTTCTACTCTTTTGTTGTTACAGCACAGAGTTGTGTTTTCCAAAACCTCCACAGAGCGTTATAGCAGAATTATTATTAGTCTTCGTCCTCAGGTTTCTGCACCTACAAACAGTCCTTTAGGAGTGCAGAGGCCCTGAGATGTGAGCAGGAACACTCATAATGTACTTAGTTTAAAATCCCGTGTGAGAGCTGTAGCCTCTCATTACCATCAAAATGGAGTTTGTTTTGTTTCGCACAGTAAACACTGTCTAATTAATTGCACTACTAAAAGAATGGCTCTCAATGTGACAGAATAACAAATATATCTTTGTGAATTCATTCAAGCCTCGAGGGCAGGCACCTCTGATGGAAAGCTCCTCGTGTTTTGCTTACATTACCTGCTCGACAAAGAGTTTGTATTGACTCAGTCACGGTTGGTTTGGCTCTGATTAGAATCATTAGAGGACACGTTTTGTCTTCTTTTACAGTAGCTGTCCTATTATCTTACTGGGTCATCGCTCCTTACCTTTTCAGGAGGACACTAATAAAATTGCTATCTCTCCCGACTTTTTACCGCTGTGGAAATGAGTTTGAAAGCAATTTGGACATGTCACCCCCAGGAGAGAGTTGATATTGATTTGCCATGAACTACCACCGGGATCTAAAGGGAAAGGGGCAATTTATCTACAAATGAGAAAAAACTTGCGGAGAAATCACATTTTTCTAAATAGCTGACCTACTTTCCGGCATGCAAGCCTCTTGTGTCTCACGCTCCATCCGCCCATTCTCAGGGCTCTGTTTCAGGCTCTCGCCCAAATGTCTGCTCGCTTCAAATGTTTGCATATTGAAAAGTACGTTTTACCCTGCCATCTGCTCTGTATTGAACCAAGGCGGTCCGAGGTGGACGTCTGCCATTTGTTTTGTCTTAAGCAATTGGATGTGTGTCAACTGTCAGGGTGCTCATTGACCTTTAATGTGCCATCACCACCCTAATGAGAGTGAGGGAAGGGAGTGGGAAAGATGGAAAGATTAACGTTGCAATGTACTCACCCTAATTTACCCTCTTCTGTTTTCATCCAGAATGACACATGGGGACAGCAGTACTCCTACGCACTTTTCAAAGCTATGAGCCACATGCTGTGTATTGGGTATGGCATGTACCCCCCGGTGGGCATGACAGACGTGTGGCTGACCATCCTCAGCATGATTGTGGGAGCTACCTGCTACGCCATGTTTGTGGGACACGCCACCGCGCTGATCCAATCCCTAGACTCATCTCGACGGCAGTACCAGGAGAAGGTAAGTCAAGATGTTGTGTTTCTGACGTGTGTTGCCCTACTTTACTTTCAGAGAGGACAGTGGTGGTAAGGCAGGATGCTCACACTAATCGTAGCAGTTCGACCCCAATTGAATTATCTTGATGTTTGTGCAGCCATTTAATACACTGATATCTAGGTGTTGCAGTTTCATCAAGGCTAATCAACCAAAACAAATTAAATAAATATTAAAACAAACAAACATTACCGGTCCAATAATGCTTTGGATGATGTTAAGAGGAAGTATAATTTTGCTATCTAGGTTCTGTTTGTTTCTGTTGCACCCATGGACCGACAGACAATGATCAAAATGTGACTTTGTGACTAAAGGGAAGGAAAAATCTTTAACATTTCCAGCCAACGTAAAGGTGAATTGGGTAGCTGTATTGCTCGGTGGTTAGAGCAGGCAGCCCATATCCAGTGTTGCTGTGGGTATGAGGGTTCGAACCCCAAACATGGCAGTATATTTCACACCCCACCACCAATAAAAAATACTAATAATAAATAAATAGTAAAGGGCATACATGGCTGTATGTGCAGATTTGAATTATAGTATGAGAAACAAAATTCATTTTGACATTTTGGTAAACGGTTTTTCCTATCATTGCCTTTCATCTCACAAAGTTCAGTGTCTTTGTTTCACTTGATATCGCTTGAAAACACTTGGAAGAAAACAGTAAGAATTTACTTTGAGATACATTTAAAGGGTTTTCTTTGGACAGCAATATGGCATGCTAAACGGGAAAGTTGGCCACATCCTCTCAGCTTCTGCAACATACTTTTTTTTTTGTCTGGATGGGCTTGTTTGCGGTTGAACCATCCGTATAGTGACAGGAACCTCAGCCTCCCCAGTCGAGGGACACGGAGCCCTGGCAGCTGGCCGTAAAGGCCCGAGAGGAGCTCCACGGTGCCCTGCCCTGTGTGGGCCCAGTGTGGGCGATAATGAGCTGAGCTGCCAGGCTGCCTCATTGCCCTTCGAATGTGGTGAGGAGAGGCGACAGGATGACATCGAGAGAATGAAGGCAGAGGTTCCAGTAACCCCACCCAAATGAAAGAGGTAGAGTGGGAGGAAAAGAGGGCAGAGAAAAGGAACCGGAGATGAGCAAAGGAACAGATTAGATGACGTAATGGATGAGTGATGCTACATCTTCAAAAGGAGAAAAGGGCACTGGATAAATTAACACTTTACTAATCCTGGGGTGAGTAATATAGAACTAGTTCTCCACCAGATTCCCACCAGCTTAAAAGGTGAAAAAATATATACCATGTGAGTATAGGTACATGAACAACGTTTTTCACCAGAGTGGTTCTTGGTTCTGTACGTACACTGTAAATGAGGGAAATCTGCATTAAAATGATCCGCCTGAAACCATGCACGCTAATTCAGGTGTGTATTGTTCAAGGGGCTTTACACAATAACTAATCAGATCCCAAATGTAATGCTATTGTGGAATAGACCTGTTTCTTGATATAACGCAGTCAAGTGCATACCAGTTACATCACCATCTTCATAGCATCCCAGCTGCTGGCCAGTCTCCAGCCATATGTTGTACTTTATCTGGTTGTTGAGGTAGTCGTCACAGTGTTTGTTGTACATTATTTCATGTTGATGAGGGGACTGCCAACTGTTTCAAAAGGCCCATTATTCCGAAAGTACGTGCTTGGTTTGAAATGGCTTTAATGCTGCTGATCTGTTCTCCCCACTCAGCACTCTCCACTCGTCTGCTGCTCCGCTTTTAGAGATGTTTTCGTTGCCAAGTACCCTGAACAGCTGTCCTGTCTGAGCACCAGTCAGCATGTGGTACCGAAGCCATTTGCAGCCGCTCCTGGGATCACCCCCTAAGGCTCCTTAAGAATCCCCCAGCCTGCTAAAAAAAGGCTCCCCTGCGCTCCCTCAGCTTCCCACGGTGCGTGCCTGCAAAAAGGTTATTACGGCAGACTGCAATTAATTTTCACGAGTGCAAATTCTTTCATTTATCTTGCCTCAGTGATAAGGTGTTCTCCGAGTTCACTTTGTGCTCATCTGGCTGTGGGAGCCAGATAGTAGCCGTTCCTACTATACCCACTCCTCCTCCCTTCTTATCAGGGTTAGCTCCTTCAAAGACACAGAGCTTTTTGTCATTGGCCCTCGCATCAGTTGTGTGACAATGAGATCTGCTTCCTGGAGATTTCGCTCTGCTTTTCCGTGTTAGACTAATACCATAATCCATGCACTCAAGAAGTGGACAATCCATTGGTCAATCCCTGGAGTTCTGGGAAGACAGGTGGCTGTTCTCATAGGGCCGCCATGACGGAGACAGCTGTTGCTGTCTGATGAGCCTGGAGAGAAACCCGCTGAGACGCCACCAACACAGCAGCCATCATATACCAAGTTATTATACACATCTGTTTTTAGACAGAGATATTCTATGTTGTCATATTAGTTCAAGTAAAATAAAGCTGTTCCATGTGATCTACCTAAACATGCACAATGTGACAATGGTAATATGACTGAAATAAGGTCAATATAAATAGCTTGATTATTACAAACATTGACCAACAAATCCACTATAGCATGGTAGAGGGATATATGGCACACATTGGGTAAAGATCCACAGTCTATATAAGTCTCTAATTGACATATATCATTAGCTGAGGTTGTGCTGATATCTGAGATGTGTAAAACTTGATTATACTGTAAACAATTTATAAGGCAAAACACAAAAATATACAAAAATGGCAATTACCTATGTGGGTCTCTGAGGGTAAAGACAATGCAGTAAAAAAAAATTGAAATATCATATAGAAACACTGTTCAAAGAAGAAAAGGCTTTCCTTAGATTTTTACATAATGAATAATAGTGTATCTGTTTATATTAATCTGTGCTCTCTTGTCAGGGCACTCTTATGATTGTTATTGAACTCACAGGTGTGTAATCATAGTACAAGGACACTGAGAAGCTTTAATTCTCATCATAACCAGTGTGTGTTTGTAACACATTCAATCCAAAAAGGATTGGTTGTTTGTCATTTAAGTGTGTAAAGAAAATTCAAAGGGAATTACATTTTATTTCAACTCTCAAAAGTATGTTTTCCTAAATGCTCTGCCTTGACAAGCATTTTCATCTCGGCCCTATTCCTTTGTTTGTTTCCAAACAACACTGCAGTGTTCAGAAGAGACACTTAACTTGGCGTGCTGACTCAACACATGCATAGCTGATGTTGCAGATTACAGACCATGAAATATGAAGATTTAGACATTTAGACTCATTAGTCAATGCTCGAGAGCCGCTGTCTTTGATTGTTGCCAAGCTCTCTGTACTTTGTTTGGAGTTTTTGTGTTGAGAAGCCAAACATGCTCCCTGTTGATATTCCACAGAGGCATTCAGCAAAACTGAATCATTTGCATACAAGATCAGTCAGTGAAGAAGCATGAGTGGCTTATCTGCAGTGTAGCCACATAAATCATTGGCCTGTGTATTGATGGTCCGGCTTATTAAACAGCAATAACAACATTCAAATGTAGATATACAATTGAACATTAGTTTACAGCAGGGGTGTCCAACTCAATTTCATCACGGGCCACATTCGCATTATGGTTGCACTCAAAGGGCCGGTTGTAACTTTAAGACTATATAGAAATACATATATAAATATTTAATATATATAAAATAATGTATTATATTACATCATTGCCTCTGCATTGGATTATTATCGGATAGGGTAATAACTTCATAATTAACTCGGTCTGAAAGCAGAAGTCTAGGGAAAATAATTGCAAGTCTCTTCAGTGAGAATGTCACAAAATGATTTTAAAAGAAAAGTCAAATCAAAAAGAAAGGTGACATTTTGAAAGAAAAGGTGACATTTTGAAAAAAAGTCAAATCTGAGAAAAAAGTCAAATTTGAGATGCATTGTGCTCCATGTATGGGCAACGTGGTTCTGTAAATCGCCATGTAACATATTATATTCTTTGCAAGCTCTTGTGGGGCCACATAAAATGAAGTTGCGGGCCGGATTTGGCCCCCGGGCCTTGAGTTTGACACCCCTGGTTTACAGTGTATCACAGTTGCATTGTGTATTGAATTTGCCAGCATTAACAGCTAAATGGCAACACATTTTTTTAAAGGTGGATGAATGTTGAGCTTTTCAGCACTATCGCCACATTACAATTCCTCATACTGGATGTGATGACACAGGCTCTGCATTAATCCATTGCCAATGATCTTTAATGAGTACAACATGGTAGCTCCACTTCACACAGCCACGAGACCCTCTTTACAGTTTGCCTGCAGAGGTGATGTCCAGGTAAAGGTTTACATTTTAGTTAGGAAACAAATGAGTGACCCCCCTTTGAATATGATGAAGAGAATCAGTCTATTAGGACATCTCAGAAGATTACAGATGGGAAATAGGAAACGAGGACGGAAAAAAGAAAGCTCTGCGCTCAAAGATGGTGAAATTATCATCAGAAAGCCTGGGTATAATCTTTCCTGAATAGAATTCTATTACAATGTGGCACCATGTGATAAATGCCCGGGCTGTCAGAAGCTAGCAAGCCGACTTCAATGAGCTCTTAAAAAGGAATCAGGCAGCCTGTTAACTGTTACACAAAGTAAAGAGGCCAACAATCACATTAAATACTAGGGGTTGAAGTGTGACTCCTGCTGAGATGAAAAATAGCTTTATTAGATTGATTTTCACTCGGCTAAAAATATCCTTCAGATGCCAGTCTTTTGCTGCTTGTAAACAGAGCCTTTCATGCAGAATATCAAAGCTTTTTCTACCTGATTACAACTCGATTTGTTGCAGATGTATCTGACTGCATGGGTTAGGCTGAGTTCATATCAAAACTGAATAAAAACAGAAGCGGGACATACTGTAGTGTCATATTTTCCTAATGACTCCTGTGTACTGACGGTGCTAGTAACAGGGTTTTAGTTAGGTATTTCTACATTATAAAAGCCACTTTATGTTATTCTGTATCAATTAGATTTTATTATT